AAAAAAGACAAAAAGGAAAAAAATAAAAAATAAAAAAAAATATGAGTTGCCTGACCCCCCCAACCTCCCCATGCCCATCCCCCGGCGGTAACCCCCATGATGGTTTGTTGAGTGATCATAGTGAAAGCTTTCTAGATAGCGCAACAGTGATCACAAAACTCCTGAGCAAACATCCAGCTTTCCCCAACTGTAAAAATGCCAGCAGGTCCCAGACCAAACTCTGAAAAAACCTGGCCAGGCCTCAATGACAGGCTGTAACTGTCCTTGCCCCGCTGTTAGTGATAAGTCTGTGGCAAGTACCACACGTGGTTTACACAGCAGATAGAACTTTAAAAAGCACAGCACCACTTACTGTTTTATGCCTGGCTATGGCCATTCATTATTGCTATAATCAGAGTATCAGTGATACCACAACTAGAAATTCCAAGAAGTTTTGCTTTAATCACATAGACTGAGAAGCTCAAAAACATCACTCCCAAGTACCTTTCTTTCATTCAGTTAAGTACTTCAGATACAAAATTTATGGTAATTTTGAAAAGGTAAATAAAACCTTAAGCAAAGGATTTTCTTTTTCACTCATCTTCATTTAGCAATAATACTAGGTCAGTTTCTTTTCCACCACCCTTCTGCTTTAATTGCACTAGTAAATAGGCAATGGATTAACTAATCTGCAGAGGTTTATAAAGAGCACTTGGATTTTATTGGAATTAGCATGTCCAGTTTTAGATTTATAAAAGCCAGTCGGTTGTATTTTTTCTCAGAAATATTTTTTTAAAAAACAAAAGCTCCAGAAAATTATTAGTGAAAATAGACTTCTTTAATTCTGTTCATATTTCAGTAAGACTTCTTAAGTGGCTAATTATGTTCTTATTAGTAGTGAAAGTTGTTCCTGAATGGACTGGCTCCTCGAGTAGGAAGGCATGACGCGCTGATGAGTTGCTGCCATCTACTGACAAGTGGTGGTAACAGCATGGGCTTTTTAAAGCATCCCTGGACCTTTGCTATTATCTTAACCGTGGCCCTGGCCATCAGGCACGTGGAAAGCAGATTTGTTCATTCAAGGGCCTTCCACCTTATTAACAGGGCTATTCATAGAAGGCAAAACTCATTATGTGATATCATCCCCATCATCTTTATATGGGTGAAATCATGTTTAATAAAAACAACTCAGAACTCAAAGGTTATGAATGGTAACTTAAGGAAGCTAGCAACCAAGGGATCAGTTTGTCATATAGATGTTTTACCAGTTAATCAAAATTATTTCCCCTCAGGCTGCCTCTTTGAAGTCACTGGATAAACAGGGAATATTGTTTGTGTTTTTTTGAATCTCTATTTTAATATTTTGAAAGTGCTACCTTCTAATTTTTAAAAAAATATTGAGAAAAAATGCCAAAAAAACCTAAAATCACACATAACCACTCTACCCACTGCTAAACTTTGTTAAAATTATCATAAATATCTGAGCAGACTTTTCTGTGTGTGTATGCTGCCTTCCAACATGTGTGATCTTTTTAATAACTTTTCTTTTTTATTACAAATACATGATCTTATAGAAAATCAAATAAAAATTGCAAATGAATGCCAAAAATTTAACTTTCTCTATAATCCCACCCTGTCAGAAATAATTATTTTGAATAGCTTGGTATGTTTTTCTAGACTTTTTTCCTGGATACATTTATATATATTTGAGGCCATACTCTACATAGGATTTGTGTCCTGCCTTTTTTCCTTAATATTACATTATAAATATTGCCTTTTATTAAAAGTTTACTCTAAACATTTGTGCTAAGTTCTTAATTGAATTTTTTATTATATAATTTTGTTGGCTCTTTTCATCAGAAACTTAAAAAGTCATAAACATTTTTGCCCATTTTTATTAAATTTGCTTTAGTCCTTGTTTAAAACTTGCAGTCTTTGGGTCCCTATGAGTGTAAAGGGCTTTGCTTTGTGATTGGCACAGAAACAACCAACTGAAGCCGGAAACTACTGATTAAAGTAAAGCTGGGATTACTGATAAGCCTCTGTGGATGAGCTTAGTTCCCTACATTTATTACACACATGTGACTTGCATGCCTTCCTCCCCACCCCCTACCCCCACCTGTTCAGGTTGGACACACTGTAAGCATTTGAGAAATCTTGTCAAAAGCACACATGCCAATCGCTCAGCTGGGAAGTATCTGCACACCCATGCCCTCATCTTACTGTGATGAAATTCTGTTATTCAAATGCTATTTGCCTCCATGAAACTATACTACATTTAATGAGATAGTCTTACTTTTTAAAACTTTAATTATATAAGAAATACATTCTCATAAAAATACAAAATACAGAAAAAAGCAAAGATCTCCTTCTACCATCTCTGCATTGCTGTTCCTCTCCAAGATGTGCACCAATTTGCTCTTTTTATATAGATTACATCTTCTAAATGAATAGTATATGGCGTGTGTTCACAAGTAGTATTATCCCGCTCCTGGATAATCATTACCACACATTAAGCACCTACTATGTGCTAGATGCCATCTGTTATCCTTACAAACAATTCTATGAGGTGGGTGTCATTACCTTTTTTAAAGGTGAAGAAACTTGGGCTTAAGTCGATCATCTAGAGCAGGCTAGTTGGTAGATAAAACAGAAATCAATCTCGGGCTTAACTGCATGTTACAGCCTACAGGTCCCTGTCTGCTTCATTCCTGTGGGCTTTAACCATATTTTGTTCTACGTTATGGGTAAAATCTTTCTTAATTTCCAAAGTGTTACCTCTGTGCCTAGCGCAGACCCTCACACACAGTGGACTCTCAGTAAATATCTATAGAAAGAAAAGAAGTGACTGATCAAGCCCAGGGTTCCTGAGATGTCCCAAGATGGTGTCATCTAGTCTGTCAAGATTTGTTTTTGCTGCTGCTCCAGGTAGATGTCATACCAATCCCAAATTGGGCAGATCCAGTTAGAAATGACTTGCTGATTGGCACAGTAGAAGAGAAGCCACATCTGTATTTCAGGGGTATGGGTTGCTGTCATTTGGTAGGTTGGTTTGATTTTATTTGTTTTCTTAATTACTAGTTTTTTGTAAGTGATAATTCATGTTCATATCACAGTAGATGGTGATAAAAAGGATTAAAAGGATAAGGAAAACAGGAATGAGTGAATTGGGGAGAGGCAAGGGGAGTAATACATGAAATCTTAAATGGGAGTCACTTAGAAATTACAAATTGGGGGGACAGAAAGAAAAATAAGAGACCAATTTATTTTCATGGGAATATGTTAGGTAAATAAATGAATATATCTTTCTGGCCCTAATACCTGATCCTGGAATCTGGTTGGACCTTAAATCAGCCAAAGACACACTGAGCTCTAGCTCGCATTTGCTCAGCCTTCCCTGCCCCAGAAACCACCTCTACCATCACCCCATCAAGGAATGTCCTGTTTAGCTGTGACAGATGTAGTTCCTGAAAAAGCTGTTCCCCACAGATGGTCCCCCAAAATATTATGAGTTTTTACAAAGGTCTAACACTTTACTTGTATTTTTAAAATGTGCCAGTATGGGATCTATAAAGAAGGGAAATCTGTTCTGCACCTCATTTCCCAATCGCTTGCTTACAGGTCTGGCTGGCTTTGCTCGCCTGTGTCCTGGAGATCAATATGAAGTAAGTCCTGTGTTGGTCTAGGTGTTGGGATGGAGGACTTGAAGGGCAGGGGCTAGTTGTCATTATTTTGCTACTTAAATTATCTTTGCTTTTAATTTTTTATTTTGAAATACATTTTAAGCCAGTGAGGAAGTTTGGAGAATGATACAAGACCACCCCTAATATACCTGTCATCTAGATTTGCCACTTTTTAACATTATGCCATGCTTGCTTTATTATTATTATAACTGCTGCTGTTGTTGTTGTTGTTTTACCATTTTAGAGTAAGTTGCAGACATCACGACCCTTCATCCCTAAATTCCTCTACTAAATGGAAGGACATGCTCTCCTACAAGCATGCGCAATTCTCAATGTCAGCAAGTTGAACTCGGCATTTTAGATAATGTCATCTGATGTATGATCTATATTCACATTTTGCCAAGTGTCCTAATATTGCACTTGGGATAGCTGGTTTTTGTTTTTTGGTTTTTTTTTTCTGATCCAAGACCCAATCCAGGATCATGACTGCTCTTCAGTACCATGACTGAAGAATATAATAGATCTTTCTTTATAAAAATGTACTCCATAAAGTAAAATAGCCTTTTCTCTTTCCCCCCTTCAGAGGGAACTTATGTAATAATTTTATCTGTCTCCTCCAAAACCCTATATAATCATACCTCTTCGGGGAGAGGGGCAGAGGGAGTATCTTCCCCTAATACTCCATAAAGTAAAATAGCCTTTTCTCTTTCCCCCCTTCAGAGGGAACTTATGTAATAATTTTATCTGTCTTCTCCAAAACCCTATATAATCATACCTCTTCGGGGAGAGGGGCAGAGGGAGTATCTTCCCCTAAACATTAAAGCCGTCCAACCGAGGACAGACTGCTCACCCTCTCTCCAGAGTGTGTTGCCTTTCAGAGTCCCTTTGCAGCTGCATCTCTCTCATCCAGGGGGAGGATGTCTTTATTTCTTGCTTCCGACTGCTAAGTAGGTTTCAGCTGATGGTTCCTTATCTCTAAAGGAGCTGGAGCATGTGGAGGATTAATCCCAAATGGCTGTTCTGAGTGAGCAGAAGGGTATCGTGCGATGACCTTTTCCTGAAGATGCCCCTGCACACCCTCCGTCTTAGAGACAGAACTTACTCCCTCTTAAAAGTTTCCTCACTCATCACCAGCTCCACCAGGAACCCAGAACAGGCGGTGGAGTGAGGATGATGCAAAAGGGCAACTGCTTTATTTCCTTGCCTTTTTGATCCTGGTGTTCGGTAGGTGATGGGGAGAGGGTCAGTGAACACAAGGGCCATTTGGTGTCTTCTCCCCAGATTTTCATGAAGTATGGTCGACAGAGGTGGAAGCTGAAAGGCAAAATAGAAGTAAACGGCAAGCAGAGCTGGGACGGAGAAGAAATGGTTTTCCTGCCCCTGATAGTTGGGTTCATTTCCATCAAGGTATGGTACTGTCATTGCCTTCCGTTGTCTTTCTGGGTGACGTGGCCGGATGATCCACTGGTGGGGAACTTTTTCCATAAGGTCTGCTGCTGCCCTCCATCCCAGGAACCCCGCTCTGTGCTACAAATCCAACAAAGACCGCTGCTCTCGAGTCAGGGTGGGCAAAGGAAATTTAAGGTGGGCTTTTGAAAGGTCCACCTCTGCTGTCACGTAAGGCCTCTCTCTCTCTTGCTCTCTCTTCTAGGTCACAGAGCTCAAAGGCCTGGCAACTCACATCCTGGTGGGCAGCGTGACCTGCGAGACCAAAGAGCTGTTTGCAGCACGACCTCAGGTGGTGGCTGTTGACATCAATGACCTTGGCACCATCAAGCTGAACCTGGAAATCACCTGGTAGTAAGTTGCCTTTTTTTTTTTTTTTAAAGATGACCAGTAAGGAGATCTGAACCCTTGACTTGGTGTTGTCAGCACCACGCTCACCCAGCAAGCGAACTGGCCATCCCTATATGGGATCCGAACCCATGGCCTTGGTGTTATCAGCACCGCACTCTACCGAGTGAGCCACGGGCCGGCCCGTAAGTTGCCTTTTTTGACTTCACCGTGTAGAAATATGCACTACTGGCTAGTGTTATTCAAAGGTTGGTGCGTGAACCATCAGCATCGCCAGGGAGCTTGTCAGAAAAGCAGAATCTCCGGACCCATGCAGATGTACTGTCAGAACCCCTCAGGCCCAAGGATCTGTTTAACAAATTCACCAGGTGATGTTCATACATGTTCAAGTTGGAGATACCTGGGTCATATCACTAGTCTCCTCTTCTACCTTCTATTTTAAAATGTTTTTATTCTGCCCCCTTTCCTCTCTCTCTCTACATTCAAATATATATAAAGAAATATGTCTCTGACAGAGACTAATTTAAAAGAAAATAACTATCCAGTATGAGATATTTTGCCCTCAGAAAGATCCTGATTCTTGCTGTATTGCTTTAATTGCTATCCCTCTTTATTTCATATGCCTCATGCTGCTCTGGAAATTTTTGAATATCCTTAGTCCCTCCACACTCTATCTACTGAAATAGAATATTTCCAAAGGGCAAGACATCTTTTGTCAAAGCAATGGACTTAAAAGTGGTTTTCCGAAGTTACTCCATGAGAAAGGTCATGATAAGTTATTAATGCTGGTAGCTCACAACATTTGCTGATATGGCCCTGGCATATTACCAGGTAAATGTGACCTGTTGAGCATTAACGTTCAGGGGTCTCCTTTACAAATGAGAGAATTGGGGGTGGAAGCAGAAATTTGTCAATAGCATTGACACTGTTTCAGTGACAAGCATCAGCACCTCTGCCCAGCCCCTTCCTCGGAATCTGTATTTGAGAGTCGATATCCCAAATGCAAGCTCATTCTTCTGGCTGGATGAATCGGATGTCATGATGATAAGTGGCATCATTGTGAACAGAGTGTTAGTCTCTTCTCAATCACGCAAGAGGCTCGGTGTCAACTGAAATGAATGGGATTCTACCTTTGGGTGTTTTTTTTTTTAGAGCAGAAAAATAATGCGTTAATCTCTTGTATTGTTTGAGTATCTAGCTCCACAAAGCTCAAAGAATTTTTGCAGACTTTTCAATATTTTGTTATCTTGGGGCAAGCATTAATATGTTTGTTTCTAATATTAATGAGGAAAAAAACACATCTAGGTGTATGGATAAATTGTGCTTAAAGCCGTGATAATAATCCATGGTCCCGAGGGTACGTCTAGACTGTTTTCTGCTCCACTTTCTTTTTATCTTAGTTTATTTTCTGACAAAGCAATTTAGGCAAAACCAGCCCAGTTCCCACTGGTTTGAATTTACTTTAGTGTAACAAGGTGCTTTCTTGGCCTGTGGTCTGTTGATTATAGATGACCTTAACAAATATGCATACATGGGGACCTATTGTTTTGCAGTCCATTTGACGTGGAGGACATGACCCCATCATCAGGCACTGGGAACAAGGCGGCAGCTCTCCAGAGGAGAATGTCCATGTACAGCCAGGGCACCCCGGAAACACCCACCTTCAAAGATCACTCCTTCTTTGTAAGTTCAGTGTGATTTCTGGAGTAGACACAATTAGCCTGAGCTAACGCTTGCACCCAATATTCGAATGCTTAACAGACAGTGTTAGGGATTCTCAATCATTCCTACTAATCTGATCTTAAAGTTCACCTTAACCGAGTAATGACTAAGGAAACCATTCCAAGATGCCTGTGGCCATATGAATACACGTGGTGAGCCACCTCGGTCTGTCCTCTCCCTTGCCACACTTTACCTATTGCTTTGATGATGACTTGTAGACTTTTCTGAACATTCCCTAAGATCAGCCTTTTAAAGAAGTGGGTATAAATAATGGCCTTTTTGTTTTCATCAGAAATACTTGCTAAAAAGCTAACAAAACATGGTAACCTGATTCTTTCCACTAACTGGCCCATCTTGCTTTGACTTCTGAAGAGGTGGTTGCGACCTTCACCAGACAAGCCAAGGCGGCTGTCTGTCTTGAGTGCCTTGCAAGACACTTTCCTTGCCAAGCTGCACCGCAGCCGCTCTTTCAGTGACCTGCCCTCCCTCAGGCTGAGGCCCAAGGCCGTGCTAGAGCTTTATGTGAGTGTGGCCTGCGCGTGTGTGAAGTGCTTGACGTCGGGGCATGTGGCATGTTGCTTCCGCATGTCTCTTGTTCTGCCTTCTCTGTCTCGCTCACTTACAGCTGTCCTGCCCTTGGGGTGGGAGACTTGGCCATGCATGCAACTTTGCTGAGAGGCTGTTTGTCCTTCTCTTCTGATGATTCCTGTTTTTGTGCTGTGATTTTCCTCCACGGTGGTAAAGATATCCATGGTAACAAGATTTTCATTTTTCAAAACTGCAGTTACACTTAATGTGAAAGAAGATTTTATTTCAGAAGGTCAACTAGTTTATCACTGATATCAGCCTTTTAAAAACTGGCATTCATAAATACAACTATAATTTGTCAATTTACAATAATTAAAAATTTTAAAAACTGCTATTCAAGGAACTCAGAGAATTTAAACCAATTTTGCAAGAGCTATTTCTATTTAAAGAGGTTCTTAGTTTATTATAGTGTTTGTTAATTTCATAATACTTTAGTAAGAAAAACCCTTTCATTCATAGGAGTGAAATAGGTAACTTACATTACATATGATACATTTTGTAATGGGAGAAGACACACACACATACACACGTATACATACATACATGGAATAGTCTGCTCTTCACAGACATATAAAAGTAATTTTTGAATGTCCAGAAAGGAAAAGATTAAAAGTCTTCTAGTTAATAATAATAATAATTGCATCTTATTCATTGAATTAAAAAACACAGGTGAAAAGGACCAGGCCAAACTCTAGAGGAGTGTCAAAGGAAAACGGGAAGAATATATGCAGAATTCATGAAGTCATGTACCAAAAAGCAACAGCGCTAGTACAGCTGCAGTGTGTATGTTCATGCTTCTGTGCTGCAAGTCAGAGGGTTGTTGGGGAGAGTTGGTAGAGGTTTAATAGCATAATTTAAACAAGAGCAAGATTAGAACACAATCTAATGGGTTGATGGCTTCCTATAGCCTTTTGGATAAAAGTAAAGGTCCTCAGAGCTGCCATTCCCAGCTGGTCACAGCCCACCCCTTCAGGCCCATCTCTCCCCTCTCCGGCCTCTGCTCAAGCCCCTCTGAGCTTCCCAGTGTCTTCCAAATGCACCACATCCTCTCAGGATCTCATGTCTGTGCACACGTTGTTCCGTCTGGTCACAGCCCACCCCTTCAGGCCCATCTCTCCCCTCTCTGGCCTCTGCTCAAGCCCCTCTGAGCTTTCCAGTGTCTTCCAAATGCACCACATCCTCTCAGGATCTCATGTCTGTGCACACGTTGTTCCGTCTAGAATGCACTTCTTCCTCCCCCTCCTGTGCTCTGCCTTATCATCTTCCAAGGCTGGGTTCCAGGACCATCTCTTTCTCAGGCAGCAGCCCTGCCCTTGCAGGGGCCCTCAGCTCATTGTATCATACCTCAGTCACGATATGCATTCCAAGCACTGTTGCATGCCAGTTGCCAGACTTGTCCCCTTGGTAGACTCTAAGTCCCCTTGGCCAGGGCATCTCAATTTATTCTAACTCAGTATTTCCCATTTACATAGGTGCAAATTGGGCTTGGGAATGTGGGACTCAAAAGAAATGTCTGGGGAGGACTTTGGAATTTGAATCAGAAGCTCGATTACCCAATCCCCCTTTCACAGCCAATGCCTCCATCAGTGCCACCAGATGTGTACACAGAAGAGCAGGCAAGGCTGGCCGGGACCACTTGGAGGACCCAAGGGTTCTGTGAGATACCTAAGGGCCCCCTTTGGTGGAGGTACAGGGAGGAGGGCTCCAGGCCTTCCTCCATTTCTCCCCAAAGCTCCCCCTTTTATCTGTCCTAGAGGCATAAGGTGCATATGGGGGGAGGGGGGAGTGAGCTTGGGTGCAAATGGAGACGGGAGGAAACTGAACTAAAGCTGGAGGGAGAGGAGCCCAGAACCCACCACCCCCCAAGGACTTTGAGGAGCACAGTTCAATAATCACATGAAAGAAAACCTTCTCCATTTTGAGGTGAAGAGACCAAGCCTGCGAAGTTCCCTGAGTGTCCCAGTGACACATCATTCTACTCATCTGCAGTTAGAGTAAATCATCTTCCAACCAGACCAGAACAGACAGTTTGGGTCAAACTGACTGCATGTGTTGGGGTCTGGTGGCCTCAGATCCAGCAGCCCTGGGACCAGGGACCCCTCTGGAGGAGGACAGAAGCCTTTGTCTTTCTGTCTGCTCCCCATTTCACTCACTGTGACGTGCTTGTTTGCTGGGCTGATTCCCAGCTGCATTGTGAGAATTTGTCATTTTACACATAACTAAAATAGTTGTTAGCTTGATACTTACCATTTACTTTAAACATATAATCTGGAATCTAAGAATAATTAACCATTTTGAAAGGGGATAATCTCAAATAACTAGAAAATCTTTTCCACAGAGCAACATTTGGCATTTAGACACTATACACAGACTGCAGTGCAAGGAAAGCTGACTTAGAAATTGTTATGCCTGCATAAATTATCTTGGTTACCTGGCTATTTCTAAACTCTCTCTCATCAGAGTTCTGCTTCATGAAGCACAGCATACCTGTGACACAGCCTGGGTCTGCTTGGCAGAGGACTCAGTGTTTCTAGACACCATGAGAGCCCTGGGGTTTGCTTCCTGGAAGATAGATATTTGGTTTATTAGTCTTCTTCTCCTATTTCTAGAGAAGCTATACAAATGTATTGCTGCCTTGAATTTTAGGCATGGTTGCTAAATTAGTAAAACATTTTCAAGAGCTTGGGATTTGTGGGTAGAGATTTTCAAAAAATCATTTTTGAGAGCCGAAGCAGAACAGAACATCACATCTTTGGAGCAAAATGTTGGAAAACCTTTTAAGATAGATGCCAAAAAAAAAAAAAAAAAAAAAAAAAAAAAAAAATGGGCCCAAAAAAAAATAAAAAAAAAAAAAAAAATGGGCCCAAAAAAAAATAAAAAAAAAAAAAAAAATGGGCCCAAAAAAAAATAAAAAAAAAAAAAAAAATGGGCCCAAAAAAAAATAAAAAAAAAAAAAAAAATGGGCCCAAAAAAAAATAAAAAAAAAAAAAAAAAGAAAAGAAAAATCAGTAGTGTTATTCATAATTATGGCTGCCAAATATTGGGAGATCCTGGGATTTAGAAAACAAGCACCATCCCTCTGCTCCAACCTTTTCTTTTGAAAAATGTCAAACCTAAGAATAGTACCATGAACTTTCACCTAGATTCAACAGTGGAAACAGTTTTTAATGGCTTGCTTTCTTTTGCCAGTCATATACAGACATATACAAACCAAAAAAGAAAATGTTAATATTCTGAAAGTTCTGGTTTTTTAATTTTAGTTGCCTTACATTTTGTCTGGGAATAAACCATGCCAAATGCATCATTTATATTGGAAATAATAATGAAGTGCCTTTTATCCACAGTCAAATCTACCTGATGACATCTTTGAAAGTGGAAAGGCAGCTGAGGAGAAAATGCCACTGTCTCTCAGCTTCAGTGACCTGCCCAATGGGGACTGCACCCTCACCTCCACCTCAGTTGGCTCTCACTCCAACTCATGCTCAGCAAATCCAGAAATTACCATCACTCCTGCAGAGCGGAACCACAGCAGCCTGTCCTCCCAGAATGAGGGCATGGATGACACCAGCTCAGCATCTTCCAGGACCTCCTTGGGAGAAGGCCAAGAGCCAAAGTCACACCTGAAGGAAGGTACGCAGGAGCCTGGGAAACCCACCCCGGCCACGACTGAGGCTTGCTGCCAATCCACGGGTGCCGGGGTTGAGCGCCTGTTCCTTGAGAATGGTGTTGCGGAGGCACTTCTGCAAGAGTCCGATGAGGCCTCTGAACTCAAGCCTGTGGAACTGGACATGTCTGAAGGAAACATCACAAAGCAGCTGGTCAAGAGACTCACCTCAGCAGAGGTGCCAGGGGTCACAGAGAGGCTGCTCTTTGAGGGCTCCATCAGTGGAGAATCCGAAGGCTGTAGATCTTTTCTAGATGGAAGCTTAGAGGATGCCTTTAATGGGCTTTTCCTTGTGTTAGAACCACATAAAGAGCAGTATAAAGAGTTTCAGGATCTGAACCAAGAAGTTATGCATTTGGATGATATTCTAAAAGTAAGTACGTTTTCAGAGAAATTGGATTAGGTTTGGAGAGAGGTGCCCTAAGCCAGAAATCTATTTAAGATAGTGTATCTTTTTAAATTTTTTTAAAATCCTGTCCAATCACAGGATCAATAGATATTCATCATTTAAATGGTATTGATTTTTAATGCCAAGAACACATATTAATTTTTATTTTCCAAAGATCAACTTAACTTTAGTTTTTTTAACTTTTTTCAATTTAACTTTCAGTTTTCTTAGGAGTTAAGAGCTCTGAAGAATGTCTGAACTCTTCCAGTTCCAGAGTTAATCATCCCAATCCCAAATGTGAAATGGTGGCAGTTTGATCATCATAGTCTCACAAATGTTACTGGACAGGGTCCCTTCCAAAGTATCAGGAATTCAGGAACACCTTCCCTGATCAGAGTCAGAGTTAGCCCGACCTGATGTGAGAACCACGGGCATCTCCCTCACTCCTACTCCAGCACTGCCTGTGGGAGGATTCCTTTCTCCTGGATTTGGCCCAAATCAGTAAATTCAGATCTCAGATTAATCATCAGCAAATAATCATCAGTCATACTCTAGAAACCAGGGAACTCCGGACTCCACCAGAGGTAGCTTCCTCAGTCCGTGGTGATCAGACAGCCTAGCATAGAACTGGGAGGGTAGGACTGAGAGGAATGATTTTCTCTTGGGTGGGAGGTCTTAATAATGAGCTCATTATGGCTCTATCAGAATGCATCTGTCTCC